ATCTAATTTTAGAACATTTTTATCACCCCCCCCCCCAAGTAAGCTTGTATCCTTTAGCTATCATCCAAACTCCTCCCACCTCCCCCAGTCCCTGGCAACCACCAATCTACTTTTTGTCTCCAAGGATTTGCCTATCTGGACATTTCATATAATTGGAATTAATAACCTTTGGGAACTTTGATGAAATCAGTGTAACTCTGTTTTGGAAGATTTATTTTTGCCCTCATAATTTTTACAAGGGATTGGGCATGGTCCATGGGCTAAAATAAAGTTTATAAATTCATTAATTTTTGAAGGTTAGAACTACTGTTTACCTTGAAACGATTTCTTGTTCCTTTCATTTGTTAGTTTTTCTCTTGGGGATATAAGGGTTACTGGCTTTGGTGAAGGTGAGGAGCACCTCCCTTTAGAATGTCTTTCTTTTTTCTTTTTAAATAATTTTCAGCAAAGGGATACCTTTCATTATCTCAGGTCAAGGTCCTTTCTCTCGATTTTTTATTTGCGATTTTTTTTCTTATCTTTTAAGAATGAGGTCTATTTGCTTTGGTGAGCGTGGGGGATCTCCTTTTAGGATTGGCTGTTTTTTTAATCCTTAAAAATGTTATCTTTTTACACTGAAGGAATGACCGTCTGTGGGTCTTGGAAGGAATGAGCACCCTATCCCTAGCAGAATTTCTATTTTCCTTCTCAAAAATGTCTTCCTTGGGAGTAACAGGCTCAGGTCTTTTGCCTCTTCTTTCTCAGACCCCAGTCTATGATGGCCCTCTCTGGGAGCCTTAGAAGGAAAATAGCAATTATGCTTTAATTATGCTTTAGAAAAATAATCAGGACTGAAGGAATGTCAGCTTAAAGATTGTTCTTAGATGAAGGAGGATCTTTTAGCTATGTGTTGGATTTTTTTTAAATCCACGATAGATATTGTAATAGTTATATATATTAGGCGTCAAGTTTTATTTTGAACTTCTGCTGCTTATTTGGGGGAATGAAAGAGTTGATAATGCAGGAGAAAGCATCCTACAGACTGTGAAGTGCCACACTAGCAGAAAGGATTACAGAATCCTTATAATGCCTCCGATTGGTTTCCTGGGCTCTGTGAATTTTTCACATTTCTTTGGAAGCACTTGGAGTAACCTCTCAGTCTTTCCTTTTGGGCCGCAGATCTGCACACACCCCTCTCAGAGATTTTAATAAACACAGAAGAACTGTATGCTCAGAAAGGAAAGACCACTGACCAAATACCTCATTATCATTTCTAGAACAACCTGCAGCAAATGCTCAGAAGCTCTCGGAATATACCAAATAAATCAGATGGTATCATCAAAACCTGGCAAGAAGGGGGGAAAGAAAGTAATTTCATCCTGACCTTCAACAGGTTAAACACTCAAATCTACAATACCAAAGCTGTTTATAGTCACTGCAGATACTCCGTTCACTTAGGAAAAAAAATTATTATCCCAGAAACCAACATCATCATTAGCCTGCTGTTGCCACGACTGTAGAGGATAAGGACACTTTCCAAACCATTTTTTTTAATTGTTAGTAATTTGCTTCTTAATTATGGTTCCAAAATCCATTCTGAAAATGGAAAGATTGACTGCGTTTCCTTAAGGGCTATATATTCCAGGCTATTTAAAAAAGCATTTAATTCTCACTCTGAAAACAATGAGAACGCAGGAGCAGTCTCAATGTTGCTGGAATGAAATTGAAAAGCTTCAAGCTTCAGCAAATGTTTATTGAGCAAAAACATAGAGGGCTGACTTGTAATAGGCACTGGGAGGCAGAGACAGTATCTACCTTTGAAAAGCTCAGAAACAGGTAAGATAACAAAGTATTCAGGCAAGAATTACCAAATATATAAACAAATGCTTGCTACTTTGCAAGAACTTGTGCAAGAAACACCAGGGACTGTTTGCTTATGGTTTGCTTATGGTAATTGTTGTGTAGGAGGGATACACAGACCCTGCCCACCTGTAATATAAAAGCCATGTAAATTGTATTTCTTCTCAGATTTTCATCAACCAGTTGTATGGCGTGATTATCATTTCACTGATAGTCAAAACCCAGTAAATAAAAATATTAACAATCTTTCTTCAAACCACAACTGAGGGGAAGAAATAGATAAGGTCCACTTCACATAAACCCACTGACCCCAAGAGAGTTATAGCATTGTTAAAGAACCAATTCACACATCCTTACTTACACTTGCTGCCACCAGGTGGGAGACCATGGCTCACTTCCTAGAAATCAAAACGTTTTAGAAATAGACAGATTTGGTTCACGTCTGTGTTATCCTGGTAGCGGTTAGAAAAAAAACATGAGAACTCTTTTCTCATTTTCTGCCCTATTGCTTGGCATAGATTTGCAAAGAGCACGTTCTTAAACCTCACTGAAATCCCAAAAGAGAGCAGACAACACACTGGAATACCAGTCAGTAAAATTATCTGAGATAAATTTGTAGTCAAATTCAAACACTTGGTTTTGCTCATTTCATCCTTTGAATTACCAGGCTAGTTTCAAGCTACCTATACTGACTGCTCCTTTCCACATAGGATTTCGTTACATGATAAGAGCTGTATTTTGTTGAGAGAGAGAGAGAGAGAGAGAGAGAGAGAGAGAGAGAGAGAGAGAGAGAGAGAGAGATTCCCCAAGCTTGCCTGAAGGAGGCAGTGTCAGTGTCTGAGAATGATGCTTGCCCAGCTAAGATGGCAACCTGTTTGCTTTAATGTTAGAATGCAAGTCAGCTGAGTAAAGGGCACTATTTGAGGAGGATGCAGCAGAGAATGGTCCTATCACTGAAGATCAGATGCTCCCATCTGCATGGGAGGGAAACTGTATAGCAACACTAGAGTGTTGGAGAAGGCTTCAGTACTCAGCAATTTAAGCAATTACCCAGATCCTTTGCTTCCTTCAAAATCCTCTATAGTCACTGGTGAGTTCATCGACAGGGCCTTTTTCGCCAATGGACAAGCTTCTTACCCCATTCTACAAGATAAGTAACTCATAAAGACTGGCTCTACCAAGAGCAAAGTCAACCCTGAGCAGGTTCTGGTCCCCCCCAGGGCTGCCAAGTGTCTGTGCAGGGCCTCCCCTGGTGGTGCAGGGCCTCCCTTGGTGGCGCTGCAGTTGAGCGCTAGGTTGCAAGGCTGCAGCCTCTGCAGAGCCAGTTCCATCCCCGGCCACTGGCGAGGGTACCACCAAAAAAAAAAAAAAGAGTGTGGAAGTGGTCAGTGTGTATAAGAGGCTGGTCTGATTCCCCTTACTTGGATCCTCTTCATCTGTCTAGCAACATTTTTTCCTGCCTTCCCACTGCTACAGGGCTTATCCCCAGATTTCCTGCACAGTTAGCCTTCCTGAGGCCCAAGAGACGTACATTTGCTGGCCATCCTGGTAGTGAGGTTCCCAGGTGTCAGTTTCTCAGCCATGTTCTTGGAGACCACAGGGCAGGTGGTCCCTGCTGGCTTCCCTCCCACCAGCTTCAAGCAAAGTCTTCCAAAACGACAAAAGCAAGCACTCACACAGGTGAACTCCTTGCCCACCTGCCCCACCCTTTTCCTTCTGGAACTCACCGCAGGGAACAGCCCCTGTTGAAGGGAGAGATCCACCCTCCACCCCCTAAGCCCTCCTGGACTCCCTTGAGGGCAGGGTTGTAGGAATTTTATTTTATTTATAAACAGCTGCACCCTCACCCCCCCGCCAACGCGCCCCCCTCCCACCCGTGAAACTTCACTTCAGCGTCCCTTTTTCCTGTGATGGTTTACCATCACAGTTATTTAGCAAATTCAAGCCTCCCAACTCCCAGGCGCCCAACCTCTGATTCCTCCTCCTACATTCTACAAGTGTGTGTCCACAGCAGGGGTCCAGCAGGACTGGCAGGCATTGTTGGTGTGGTGGTTTATTTCTGGCTTAGTTTTTCCTGCAGGGGAAGCTAAGTGCAGGTGTGTGTGTGCATTATGATGATTTTTCACAGTGTCCTGGAACGAAGTTTAGGGGAAAAGAAGAGTATACAGAGGACAGAGATAGCAAGAAAATAGACGGGATTTCAGGGGTGGAAGACAAACACTGAAAGCCTTCTTTTCCTCTCTCTTCCCGCCTTGGGTGTGTGTCCGAGGGTCCTCCACTTCTCTGGCTTAAGTGCCGCGCTTATGAAGGCGTCTCTGAAGACTGGAAGAGATGAGGGTTCCCATTCAAATGCTCTCAAACAGCAACTCCTATTTCCGAGTCTCTAAACCAGGACTCAGGTACCATTCCAACTCGCCCCGGTGTGGGACGCCAATCTCCCGCTTGTGACTTGGCCCATCACTGTATCACTGTCTGCACCTACCTGCTGGGAAATCCTGCAGACGAATGGAATGGTGCCTTTGACACTCGCATGCCACCCCCACCCCCCGCCCATCCCTGCAGTGCGCGTGGGCGCCGCCCATCCCCTAACCCCCTTCCAAACTACCAGCCGCCAGCGGCCAACAGAGGCGCAGGGCACCTCCCTGGAGCACAGCCAGTTGCGCCCCATCCGAGGAGCCCCTCTCCAGTGGCAGGGAGAAGGCCAAGCAGACCGCCGCTGCTCCGCAGCCTGGGCCTCTGCGGCAGTGACCGCAGCTAAGAGGTGTGTCCCACCGCCCCCACTCAATCCCGCGCCTGTGCACCAGAGCCAGCCCCAGCACCCTCCAGCTCTCACGCGCTCCCTCCGGGCATCTCCCTCCTCTTTTTCAAGATACAGGCGCTCACCGCACTGTCGCTTCTACCATAGGGAAAACTGCTCCCTGCGCCCTGCTGTCACCTACATTTCCAGCCCCAAACAGCCCACTCTCGCGTCCACATGTTGCTTCCCACCTTCCAACTGCTTCCCTCTCCCCCGGGCTCCCCACCACCGCGTCTTTATCCGCACCTTTGCCCGTCTTTGGTCCCCAAATGGGAGACTAGGGGTTCCCAGGGTCCCAGGGGCTCAACAGCAATTCTGGACTCGCCTTGCTTCTCTCTCCAGCCCCAGGGGGTCTTTTTCTTACCTTTATACTGGACAGTGGCACTGGCCTTCGGGGCGACGATACGGTCTTCACACCCCTCTCTGGAGCGGCCGCCGACCGCTGCAACAGACACAGTGGTGGACTTGGCTGCGGACGGGACTCTGGAGAGGGGTCAGCGCAGGACTCTGTGGCTGGTTCTGGGACCAGTGCGGTGGCCGGCTCTGGGGCCGGCTCTGGGACCGGTGGGGTGACTGGTTCTGGGGCTGCTTCTGAGATCGGTTCTAGGTCTAGTTCTGGGGCCGGTTCTGAGTCTGGTTCTGGGGTTGGGTCTGTGTCTATTTCTGTGGCTGGTTCTGGAGCCGTCTCCGGACAGGTTTCTGGAGCAGGCTCTAGACAGAACTGTGGTGCCGGTTCTGGCGAAGGCTCGTGGAGCAACCCGGGAGCCGGCGGCGGCGGCGGCGTCTCCGGCGGCGGCCACGGCGGCGGCGGCTCTGGCGACTCCGCGGGCTGCTCTCCATCCTGAGGCGGGGCAGTGCCCTGGGCCGCCGCAGCTCCGCGGTCCATGGCCGCACGCCGCCTCAGGTTTGGGCAGCCGGGCCAGAGCTCAGAGGGCTAAAGTACCCTCAGGCGCCCCACCCACTCCAGTTCGACCACCCCTTCCAGGGTGCCAAACTTTCCCCCGCCGCCCTCCATGGCTGGCTCCACTCTGAGGTCTAACGGGGGGCGTTCGGCGTCTCCCAGTGCGGGAACACGCCCCTCGGTGAGCGCACACCTCTCCGTAAGCAACCGCTGGCCCGATGGGCGGGAAGCAAAGGGGCTTGAGAGCGCGGACTGGACAGAGCGCCTGATGACCTCCGAGCTACGCGGGAGCTTGGGGTGGGGGGGCAAACAGGGGAGGGGGAGCGGAGCGAGGGTGGGGGAGCGCAGGATCGCGTTTAACCCTTTAGTGGCGCGAATGCGAGAAGAAAAAAAAGCTAGAGGCGAACTTGAGGGTCTTTGCAGCCCCCCTAACCCGCTCAGCTGCGAGCTGCTGTCCTTAACAGCTTCGGTCCTGTGTCTGCTCTGTCACCTCAGCAGCAGGTGAACCTAGCCTCAGACCAACATTTTGCCCCCCATCTCCAAGGCTCTGTGGGCAAGTAATCTTTTCTTTTTTTTCCTAACCTGGGAAAAGAAATTAAGCGGCAGGGGTTTGGGGTGTGTGTGTGTGTGTGCGCGCGTGTGTGTGTGTGTGTGTGTGTGTGTGTGAGAGAGAGAGAGAGAGAGAGAGAGAGAGAGAGAGAGAGAGAGAGGAGAGACAGAGACAGAAAGACAGAGAGAGAAGGAGAGAGGGGAGAGAGATCCTTTGAAGTAAAATTTGCCCCCCCCTTCATTTTGGGGGGGTATTTCTGAGCTTTCTCAGGTCAAACGGTTTGCCTTTAGGTACAGGGTTTTTGGGTGCTTGGGAAGGTGTCTGATGAAGGAGGGCTGGAGTCCTGGCTTTCTGCAGCCTGCAGATGTAGCCGAGAGAGCAAGGCAAGAGTGTCAGGGAAGCCGCGTCTGGGCTATGCGCTCTAGAGCAGAGGCTGCCCTGGTCTCCGCAGCCATCTGGGCGTCTGTCTGGCTCGCCCTTGCCACGGGGAGACTGCCTTTTGCTTTTAGCTGGACTTCCCAGGCATCATCAGGACTTTTTACTGAACTTGTTAATATCCTGTGGTTGTGTGTGTGTGTGTGTGTGTGTGTGTGTGAGCGTGCACGTGCGCACTCGCGTCCATGCGCGCAAGTGTGTGTGTTTGTGTGTGTGTGTCATGTATCTTAAGCTGAGGGAAATTCACTGCAATATCCACACCTTTTTCACCTCCTGACACCTCAGAGGCACTCTGACGTTGGGGGTGGAAGACTGTCTTGCAAAGAGAACTGCGGGTCCCTGCCGCAGCACCCTTCCCGCTCCATCAGGGGACTTCAGAAGCTCTCTCGTTTGTTAGTCACGTACACACATACAAACCCTCATCTCAGTTAGACCTAGACTTTAGACCCCAATATACGGCAAAATTGCAGTTAAAAATTGAGAAGACCAACCGTTAAGCCACTGCTGTGGGGAGATGGGGGCAGGAGTACTTATAAACCTAATTTGAAATGTGACAAGTAAATTTATCTCCCACACATATAATGCTGCAGTTGTGGATGGCAGCCCTCTTTCTGCAGCCCCTCCTCTCACTCTCTCCTTCCAGACCATATTCTCCAATTATCCCTCTTCTTTTGCCAACTGACACTGACCCACCCGGAATTTTCTAGAACCTGCAGTATTTTTCTGCTCCCTGCACCCCATCCTAGCGGTAAATAATACCACATTCTCACCTAGCCCCCCTTCAAAGACCAGAATCTCTGATGAGATCTGCATTTCCCAGATTTTCACTGCAGCATGGCAGCTTAAACCCACCCTTCTGGAGAAGGGTCACAGTGCTTGGCAGCTACTGAGCTAGTGCGGGGACCATCCCTAACCTCTGGGGCCAGATAAACCCAGGGGAGGTGAGTTCTGTCTATCAAGTCTCTCACTGAAGACAAGCCTCTTTCCAGTAAATCCACATAAAGGACTGATCGTCTTCACCCTTCTTGGGCTTTTTTTCCTCTGAGCTGTGCCACACTCAAGTAACCAAGCTGCTTTTAACTCTTAAGAGCTCAGGACTGAAACACACAGAGGCCAGATCTGACCTGGCAGTAGGCTTAGGTTTGGTGCTCACTTCTTAGGCTTTCTGATTCTGGTGAAATCCCTGTCCTAAGAAAGGGCCAATATCTCACATTTGAATCTTACTTTCACTAAAACCTGGCATATAGTTGGACGGTCTAAAGGCTGAACGGTCGTGGAATAGGATGGTCTCTTGTGCTGGATTGTAGTGGGGTAAGTGTTGGCATAAACAGGGAGTTGTCAAGTAGGGGACAACTTGGAGACATTGCTTTATATGTTTCTCGAAACTCTTGTCTATCATTCTATACTCAATCACAAAGAGTCCAAAATTCATGTTGTAAACTCTCGCTGCAAGGTCAGTTTGAGGTTGAATGCTAAAATAGTTGTTTGTGCATGGTTTTTGCTCCATTAGAGAAGGTTACTACAGATATACTGCCTAGATTGCATTATGATTAATTTGATTTTTTTAAAAAAATCTGAGCACATCATGCACTGCCTTATTGCCTTATGTTATAGCATGGTTTGGTTGGTTTTGCTTTTTCATTACTTCTCAGTCCAGAATTGAATAGAATGGGTTTTACTCAGGATCATGGGATGGAGACGGAGTAGAGAAGGGGTGAATGGTTAGAATGGGCCAATTGGTGCCAACTTGGGGGGGGGCACCTTTGCTGTCTCTTATCTATGCCTTCCTCTCCTCCAGAGTCTGCTAGTCTCTTGACAGAGAAAGAATTCCTTAGATGCTTGTACATTTTCCTCAAAACCTAACCTGGGGCTGAGGCCATAGTAAAGATTCAGGAAATATTCGCTAAGTGGATGATTCATTGCAGGTTACCAGTCGGGGTATCTTTTTTATTCTGCATTGCTTTTTAATGGTATTTGGTATTTCAGATGATTGATGATCTCTTAAAAGGCTCTCTTCTAATTGAACAATACTTTTATAGAGGCCAAGAGCTACATAAGAACATGAATGATGGCATCTCCACTGAGGCTTGAGTGGCCATGGTTCTGGATGTCCAGGGCAGACATGATCCCTAACCTGGAACTTTCTAGCATGTTATATGAGTTACCCAATTAGAATGGATGAAGTATAGATCAGTACAATGGGCTCATCTCTCCACCCCAGAATAAAGTCCTTCCAAGCTGACGTGGAGTTCCTTAGATTTCAGGCATGTTAGGACTTTAGGAGAAGAAAGGAGAGAAAACCTGAGAAATGTGGCAAAACCAATGCTCTTATCCTCCTTTTTGTTCATTTTCTTTTCATTATTGAAGGAGAGAGTGACACTGCAGAGCTAGAGTGGAAACCTCTTTTTCCTCGACCAATAGCTCCAATTTCCCTAAACCCTCCATTTTAAAGCAATTTATGGAAGAAATAGGTGCCTCTCCTGAGTCTTAGCTAACAGCCTCCCCTACTCTGGCCACCTCAGCAATGTACAAAACCAAAATAACAACCTTTCTAATAAGCCACTAAATAAAGAGATGGAATGAAAAAAAAGCATTTATGGAAAAGGCAGGGGATTCAGACAATTAATTTGGATGGGATTAACATGCAAATCTGTTAGCCTTCGCTCTCCTAGGATTTAATTGATACAGAATTGAAAGTTAAAAAGTTAATACATTGCAGTCATACAATGCCTTTTGATCTTAAAAGTACTTTCACATATATTATCTCACTTGAGCCTCACAACAATGTGTGAGGCAAAGCAAGTCTGGACTTCCATCCCACACCCCCACCCCCTAACCTTTTACAGATGAGAAAGCAAAAGTCCAATGAGATTAAGTGATATGTCTTAGGTCACAGAGATAATTAGTGGTGGAACAGACATTTAGAATTTGTGTCATTCAACTCTCAGCTCAGGGAGACCAGAACTTAGTGCTGAGTTGGGGGTTGTGAGACAAGGGTTGTGTAAATCCTCTTAATCATCACAAAGTGGGAAATCTGCCTCAATCCACTTCTATTTCTCTCAAGCCTGTAAGGGAAGGGGAAGCAGCGATTCTTACGTTTTTCACTCTGAGGTTTCTCAGTTCTCACTCTCTCTCTGGATTGCAATTGATGATCTGTAACCACACTCACTATAGGAGGCCCCTGTTTACTGGAATCTTTTTTTGAATATGTATGTAAGACAATAATCCACCCAGAGCATACTTGTTTTCTTTCTTTATTTTTTTTATATTTTCTTGAAACGGAGCACTCCTCAGTTAAAATATATTTACTGTTAGTCTGCGATGTATGCAGCCATTTCAGGTGTTGTGGGGAAGGAAAAGGGGCAACAGAAATGTTGAACGTGACCCCTTTCTACAAGAATTATATATTAGAACTTGGAGGTTGAGAAAAGCCAAATACAGGTGAAAAACAATCCAAACGCAGATGCTGGTTTATGATCATGCCGGTTTGGCATGATCACACATTGTACTTGATGTGGGTGTGGGACAAAGCGTGACAGTATAAAAAGGAAATTGTAAAGGAAGTCAGAGAATCTGGTTTCAGATTAAGGTTCTACTATTAAGTTCACAAAACTGCCTTATACATGTCATTTAATAACTTTGGACCTTGGTAGTTTTGATTTGCATTTCCCTGATGACAAGTGATGTTGAACATTTTTTCATATGCCTGTTGGCCATTTGCATTTCCTCTTCAGAGAAGTTTCTTTTTAGCTCTTCTGCCCATTTTTTGACTGGATTATTTTCTTTGTTGTTGTTGAGTCTCATCAGCTCTTTGCAGATTTTTGTGATCAGTCTTTTATCATTAGTGTTGGGTGCAAAAATGTTCTCCCAGTTGGTGGGGTTTCTCTTTATTTTTGTTATTGTCTCTTTTGCTGTGCAGAAGCTCTTTAATTGGATGAGATACCATCTTACACCAGTGAGAATGGCACATATTAAAAAAACTAGCAACAACAAATGTTGG